AAAATACTGCCTCGAGATCTCATTAACGGAGCCTAGTGTTTTCGGAGAAAGGAGGAATGCATAAAAAGCGAACGAGTATGTGCATCAAAGATTTGCACAAATAGTTCAACTCGATAAATGCTCGTTAAAGCGTAAGATTGTCATGAAATAGAGATGGGTGAGGAATAGGAAATGAGAAAGAAAGCAGAATGAGGAAAGAAGCCATGAGAAAAATATAGATATCAATAAACCCTCTGCATTGCCTTGGTTCGTATGACCTGAAATCCTCAACTTCCACTATAGGTGGGCTGTAGTTAAAGGTCCCTACTATCTTTTGAATACAATTTTTATTAGCTGAGTTTACAGATTAACTTAAGCTTTCCCGAAAAAATCTCACCTGTTTTAAATCGGCAGTAGATTCCTCGAGTCGTCTTTTGATGATTGGGCCATGAAGTTGTCGCATCCTTTCCATCGTCGCAAATGCACTCGGGTTGGCATTCTTTCCTAAGGCCTCGAATATTGTCTATAGAACAATTACAGAAAGGTGATTTACCATTTTATTAAAAAAATTTGCAAACGGATCTCGCTATCCATACAAAATAAATTAAAACGAAGAACTGATAAGTCTTGACTTCTGTGAATACCTTGAAAGATTTGTCCGTAAAGCAGTTTCGAAAGATAAGAGCAAACTGGTATTAGGGCTGTAACAACAGCAGCAACAACAAATTTATCAGAGAACCTAGTTATGCGAATGAAGGAACATCATTAAGTGGATGTTATTTTGGATCTGATGCTTACGATGAATCAAAAACACATTTTTTGCTAGAACTTCACTGTGTAATGCACTACAAGAGTTGGTTCTCATTCAATATCCACTGCAGTTCCAGCCTTGTCTAGGCCTAATAGTTATCTCCAGAGTTGAAACAAGAAGGTTCGGTTTAGGCGAGAAAGTCATCTCTTACAAAGCACGCTTCAAGCGAGGCTAGGTGTTACAGAACAGGAATAACATTAAAACCAAGAAAGGAATCTAGTAACTCACATCTATGGCGGAAATAAACAAGGCAAGCATGAGTAGAAGTTCGTTTTGCCTTAGTCGCTATGACTGACCTTCAACTCCCACATATCAAACATGTGCGGTCTAAGGGGCAATGTGTCTGCCTTTAGGCCTACGCGATACAGACTAAATCTCGTTAAGGGCGACTAGCAGTCCTAGACAGAGGTCGAAAATGCGGTCGAATCCGTATAACTCATCTTTAGAGCACATTTTGAAGCGAAGTTTTAAATTGAAAGCTATTTCTCGTAAATGGCCCACTATCAGTGCCCAAATGACCAGTTTCAGAGTGTTTATCCTTCCATTAATTCGCCTTCCTTATTACAGACGTACAAGCCATGTGGGTCCAGTTTTCAATTATCAATGCATTTTTGGCCTAATTCGATCAGAATATTGCACCAACTACAAATCTGAATAATTGATCAGAAGAAGAACATCACCTTCCTCAGCGCGGCGATAAGAGTATTATTTCCTCTTCGTCTTCATATCACGTCAGAGAATACGGCACTAATGCACATGAACGAATTGCTCATAGAAACATAACTTAAATGTCAGCTGCACATAAATTCACGGTTAATAAAAATGGATATGGGACATAATTATTGCCTAAAAGGGCGAAATTACACAGACCTAAGAAACATGTAGTGATGTTGCGGACAAGTCAAGCATCCCAATCGAACACAGTAGAATACTTTAACTTTACAGCCAGTCATTTTACAGGCCTGCGATCATGATCAAGCTAGGATCAACACTACGAATTTGATAAACAAGTATTTACTCACAGGAAGTTTAACGGAGCTGACGACTTTTAGGATTTCTGCATTCGACGAAGACACGGAGTGTGATTCTAGTAAAAAATAAGACAAATCATTTAAGCGATGTCAGTTATAGTGGTTGCGATAGTCGAATACAAGCAAGGATACCTATTGATTGCAGTTGCATGCAGGCACAAGAAAATTAATGCCAGTATATTCAAGTACACTGCACAAAATAGCATGAAATATGAAATAGTGGGTTACCCTAGTCCTCAACTTGTATAATACATGTGAAAAAACAGATATTTCCTTCAAATCTGGCAAGAAAACACGCCCACAGATGATAGCTTTATTTTATAATAGGGAGTCACTGATTCACCACTGATCAAGAGACTCAAATGTAATTATATTGAAGCAT